AAACCAATTAATAGCTAAATCTATATCTATGAAGTCGACGGTCTACGTCGATTCACCGTGATCTCAGCTTTCGAATGGTATGTAATTGTTACGGCAATTTGCTTTCAGGGCTGTAATTTGCTCACCCCCTTTACATTACAAGTATGGGAGTAGCAGAGAACCCCTTCACCTGGGCCGGTAGTAATCCCCCCGACCTGGCGGCAGGTCTCGTCGGCAGGTTGCTGGCACCTTTCCGCGAGGTGGCCAGAAACTAAAAACCGAAATTTAGGCCGTCCCAGGCCTTTTTTCAAAAAATTTCCTCGATAAAGTTGCCGTCTCGACTCTGTAGAAAACTTCATAAAAATCTGCGGCTCCAGAACTCCTCCTTTAGTAAAATATCTGGAATTCCAGGAGGAGCTGCCGGCAACTTCGCGATGTCAGTTGCCGGCAACCTGCCGGCAGGTTGCCGGAATCCGCGAGATGGCAGCTGCCGGCAGGTCAGAGAGCACGGGAAATAGCGTGCTCTTTTGAGAGAGAGAGCTGCCGGCATCTCGACGTGCCCCTACCACGTCGAGGTGGTGGCACCTTTGCCGACGGCGTCTGCGAGTTTGCGAATTGCGGCGATATCACACAATTTACGTCAGGCGAAAAAATCAAAAATTCTACTTTTCATGAAAAAACTATCATTTTTCTCATTATATGGGTTTTTCTTTTTTAAAATGACGATTTTCTTACAGAGAAAAAATCCACTAATGCCTTAGAATCATATAAAACACGAACTGTTTTGGCAATCCCTTATAAATCTCAGTTTGCACCGATTTCGCTCCTCTCTCGCTCATATCAATCAGCTGTTCTTTCAGGTCAAAGTCTCTCACGCAATGTATCGATCCCTTTTATAAAAAGCCATTCACCAGTGCGTTCCTCCTATTGCTGGTGCAAAAGGCAATGGCTGACCGAATGGTCGAATGGTTAACGTGGTGGCACTTCAATCTAACGCACATAGGTTCGACCGCGCGCAAGGTAGCATTTTGCGGCTGTCTGCGTCATCAAAACTTAATGTGCGAAATGATTGCGTGCCAAGGTTACATAGGATTATTGAAACCTACAATCACTCCGCGAGCTGCCGGCGGAGTTGGCATCTTTCCGCGATGTGTGCCAACTTGCCGGCATCTATGATGCCACCAGGTAGGGTAGATTACTATCGGCCCTGGAGGGGGCCCGGCTCTCCCTATCGCACCTATGTTCTAAGGCAGATAAACTCAGAGACAGAGCTTTCAAAGAAAAGACACGCTACAAAACGAGCTGTAAGACATTAGTCTTGGAAAAATTGATCCTTTGTAAATGATTATCTCTTCAAGACTGGCTAATTAAAAAATAAAACAGTTCATACTTCCAAACAACCTAATTTTTACATGACGCAAAGGATGGCCAGTCTTACACCATGACGGCGGAGTTGCTGGAGACCCCGTTATCTCTCCTGCTCATACAGGTACCTCATGACCTGCGATATAACCAACAAAGAAAGTATCATTCAATGACTCTCATTGTAAAGCAAACTGCAAGTGCTGATTCACTTGCAGTCACAGTTAATCAAATGAACAAGTACCCGGAAACTTCTTCTATCACGCACAATGCAGCTCATGATTCATGCTCCTACGCATTTGATGTCTTTAACGAGAATGAGCAAGTTATTTTGTAGTTCAATCAGTAAATGAGATTCTGTGAAACGAGATGAATATCACTTGCACACATATATGCGACTTTATTTCCTCTCTTAAAGTCAAACTCTGCGCTCATAAGTAGGAATATGCTACTTCGACCTCTACAAATGTTTTTGGCACACAATATGTCTACTGCGCAGGAACTACAATGCTATTAGTAGTTGATTTTTTGTTTTAAGCTGTCTCATAAATTGTACACCTTGGCGAGTACCGATAAATCTACTTTTGTTCTTTAACTCCATTCGGTAGAGCAAAGCAAGCCCCAAGAGATGGCGTACAACATATGGATATCTAACCACATTAGGAAGCAGAAACAAAAATGATTCTTTGAATCTCTGTCCAAGAAAACCCTACGACTCCATTTACGACTATGTAGAAACATTTCCAATCTGCTGTATATTCTTGTACGGGCTAGAAAAGTGTGCAAGTTTTTTGAGCGGATAGAAATATTTCGTGCAGTCGCATGACTTTAGATTGTTTTATAAACTGAAGTGGATGGAATTTTCAAACGTCTTTTAGAGTTTTGAAAGCAACCCGAATTCCTATTTTTGTTGAATCCGGGAATCATAAGACAACTCAATACCAAATTGTCAGGAATGTTGCAACACTCGCCAAGGCGACAGAGTGAATAAGAAAAGTATGTGGGGCGTTGTCCGATACAGCAAACAAATTCTGTAAAATAGTTACACATTTACTTGGTTATGCCAATCTATTTAAAATTTCAGTGTAAATTCTAAGAGATTCGAGTATGTGAGAAAAATGTGACAGGTCGGTGCAAAAGTTCTATTTGTTTTTGTACCTTCGCGCATCCGTGGAAAGAAGACAAACAGCACTTTCAGGCAGTACCCGATGCAGAATCTTTTCCTCTCTCTAGCACTTATGTTCTGGTGCGACTTTCCGCATTGAGATCATCGCCGAATATTGACCCTTTATTTTTACCATGTCTAACCCTTACTCAATCTCGGAAATTCATTTGTGATGATTGAAAGTGCTTTGATTGTCATTTGATAGAGCAAACCTTTGGCAAATTTTTGCAATTTTGCATCTCACCAGCTTCCATTGTAGAATTTTGCTTGTAAATTTTTAGAAGATTTGAGTTCTAATAAAAAGGGCGTAATGTATATGTGTAGTGCTGTTTCTGCCAACTAGGCTGTTATGATGGACCTTTATTGACGTTACGTCTCGACAAATATCGCCTCTTCGGGGTCTCTAGTCCAACTTGCGGCTGCGGCTTACTGACTTCAAGATGAACTATAGACCTTTACAAGATGAGAGTACGTGAAAAATGCGTAACATATATTTGCACCAAACATTGCGAAACTTCAAAGGGGCTTAGTGCTCGGTTATCCTACCACTAAAGTTACAGAGCAAATGAACAATTTTGCTTTGAAATATGTAAACTTTTAAACTTGGTATGAGAGAAGCAAGAATTAAGAAAAATTGCATCAACTAGCGGAAGATTTGCCCTGTCAGTAGGATATCCAACTTTGGAGGTCTCAAACAGGGATTTTAAAAATTAGCGAAAGTTAGACCCGGCAAATTGAAGGGCTGTGAATCACGGCGGTCATCTCAGCACTCACTCAAAGTCTCAGATTCGGAACATAACTGCTAGAAAGAGAAAGATATTTTGCATCGCTGCTCTAGGTATGTTTACCTTTACTCTGCGACTTTTGCGGTTGGTACAAAAAACGGGAAGAACTTTCGCATCAACCCAATAATGTTGTTCAGAATATGCGAGTTTATTACTTGGATTAGGCGTATTGCAGACACTTGGGTGAGCATCAAGAAAAAGTTGATGGGCGTAAAGCGACAAGAGCAATTTTGAGTTCTATGTATGTCCGTTGTCCACAACGGGCCTTTAGATTTACAACAACAAAAATTTACCTGCATGTGCCCTAGGTATGGATTATGAGAAATCTATCTAGCATTGAAAACGTGACGATATCACTATCTAATCCATCTTGCTTTATTCCTAGAATTCAAAAACAACGAACATGTATGTGTGCTGTCATTATGTGCGTTCGAAGAATCTTGACCAGAGTGCAGCCCGCAGTGTTTCTTCTGGCCATTCGAATTTTGGGGAATTGAATATGTCCCAAAAGTTTTGTCCGTTTTTAAACCACTATAAAACCAGGCACAGTAAAGACCTGAATGAGTTACAGCATGAATTCGATGTAGCTGTTCCATCTCTTTCTTATGGATACATTTGCAACCGCAATCTTGTATGATTCATTTGATAATCACCAAAATTTTCCACCCGTCAATTTTATTTGCCCAAAATTAGGCTAATATTTGAAGATTTCATTCCAAATATCGGGAAGGTTTAAGTATGAATCGAACAGAGCAGTTTTCGAATTAAAAGGTAATATTTTTAAGATCCTCCTAATCCTTCAGGAGGTCTCGATTTTTAGCAAAGTCATGAAACAGGCAACTGCAGCAAATACACGAAAGCTTTTGAAGTTTCTGTGAATTGAAACATGATTCTTATTAAACATTGTTTATGCAACATAACCAAGTTCAATTTGCTTTAAAAAGGCAGCTTTTTGGAATTTTCGGTACTTACGTAGTAAACGTAATCAAAAAGCCGCGGTTTTTATCCAATAGATTACTATTACGAGCGTAAACGTGGCCCATATAAATTAAAATGGGTACAATGTAGCCAAAGGTTTGGTCTACGAAGCAGTTACTAGCGCTCTTTGAAAACATCAGAATAAAAACTTTTTAAATTTAGGAAATATTTGGCGTTACTGCTGAGCTGCTCAAAAAGTCATGGCGATAACATTGCAAATGCAGCGTAAATCAGAGAGCAAACATAGCTGTAAGAAAGAGGATTAAAACTTGAAAGGAATGGTATCTAAGTCGTCCATGGATTGGTGTTCTGTGAGTTTTATTGAGCGATGAAAAAAAACGGACAAAACTTTCGGGACAACTTTATATTTTAGACTTTGACTTTCAACCACTCGTAGAAAACAAATCGTCGAGCATCCGGTTGCTTTATCTTGTAAGCCTTGTGGGTGCAAGGATATGTGTATAAACAAGAATGTGCATCACATGAACACCTTTATTAATTGAGGGCAAGATAAATGTTTGCAGGTGTTACATAATTAGTTTATCACATCAAACACTTTTCATCAGCAACTAGCCAGTAGCCTTCTCTCTTTAATTATTACTTATGTTCTGTAAAGAGACTAGGTAGTAATTCATTTATTTAATCTGTGTCAATTTTCTGTCTCCATTGCATACGCTGTTACTTGTTATTATTCCCGTCACAGGCACGTTCAGGTTGATTTAACGTTCTAAATGGTGGACACTACAACTGCTCTTAGTGGCTTGGCTTATTTAATGCTTCCTTGCCTTGTCCTACCTTTTTATATACTTCTAACCCATGTGAGTTCTGAGATATAAGTTTAATAGAATAATATTGCTATCTCAATCCTATTTTTACAGCCGGAAGCAGCATTTAATGCCCAAATTTGAAGTATCGAATAATTCGAAAATTAAATTCCGTTGGTTGGAAGAATCCTTGAATGAATTTTGCAGGTAATGGTAACAAACACCTCAGTAAGAAGGCTGGCATCAAATCGTCTCGTGACTCAGTTGAACGTAGCAGATTGCATACAATTGGTACTCCACTCTAGCAGCGGAATTTTTGTTCTCTTTCCACGAATAGCTGAAAATAACATATATATTGTCAGAGTGAGTGTCTCATAGCCATCATACTATCATCCAAACCCCTGCAACAAGGTCACATTTCAGACTGTGGGAGCTTTGATCAATGCAGCATGGCTCGTCACCTTTCCAATTCTCTGTCTGCTAGCCGTTACACGTATACTTATAATATATCAGTATGCATCACCTTTGAATACTATAGGTGTAATGAAGGTGAGTCCACGGCCATTATTTGCGTTTTCATCTGAGAGGGTCCATGTTGCGGTGAATTTAGCATCTGAGGCGTTGTCTAAGTAGGCCACGATGTATCTTCATTTGTAAGGCATCTAGACGTAACGTAGATTTGTGCTTTGAACCTGCGAAGATGTCAAAACGGTTTAGACGGTGGGAAATTGATTTGGGCAAGATAGTGACTCGCAGGTGGAATTATCAAGCAATAACCGATGGCGAGATGTGCTGGTTTGAGTCCTTTCCTCTCCACTGACGCCAGCCACGTTTTTAGCGGTCGCCATCTCAAAAGTAACAGCTTTTTTGACAAGGTCTGGCGCATGGTTTGAGATCATTTTGAAATGGTTTCGGTGACAATGTCAAATTTGAGGATCTGCGTTACACTTCTATAAACAAGTCACAGCTCTATATACATCATCGGAGAACAAAACATTTTCTATGTAATTTTATTAGGTTGGCACAGCTTTGCAACTTTTCCCATAACTTTCTTTTTACCAGAAGTAGAACTCTCATTTTTTGGCATCATGTAGAGTGTGACGTAAGTTGTAAGTCTGCGCAAACCTTGTGATTTATGATAACGTAGTAAAAAAATGCAAGCGTTTTTCAAAAACCCTTGAAAATCGAGGATTCACGGTTTTCTGGATAACATGAAGCCGTACACAACCTGAATAAAACATATCAAAAGAAACCATAAGCAGCATGTAGCTAGAAAAGGACACATTAGAATCGGTAAAAAAGAAGTGAATTTCAAAGACAGACTAAGATAAGGCGCCTTTGAGAAGTAGAACAAGTCAAATGCGTCAAGTTTTGAGGGCAATCTATCAATAACTAAGCTGCGAAACCTCATTCGCTAAAACTTTGCACAATAGGGTAATCCAAAATGGTGAACACGAATATCATTTTTTATTTGTCGATAAGATAACATTCATTTTTTTGACTTTACGAAAGAGGCCTTTTCGTGCGAAAGGGGTGACAACTCTTTGATCAGCATGCCGAATAACTCCCATGGGCCGAGTCAGCAAATTCTGACGCAATCGAAAAATTTTTTAATTGTATCGTAAACCTACCGTAACCCTTACATAAGATGGCAAAAATTCTTCAAAAACGTCCGCATTTGCAGTTTATATCATAATCCTTATATTGCCAGAAAATGAATGCGTTACGTTCAAAAAGACTAAAATTTTACAAAAAGTTGCATTACTTAAGTGCCAACATAATAGCTACCGCACTCGCCATCAATCTTAACCAACTGCAGTACCCATTAGTTTTTCACGTACTCTTGCAACGACCTACAAGAGAAGGATAATTGGTGACCGTGGCCATTCGCGATGTGACACACACCACTAAATGAGTCTTGAAACGCTGATTACAAATCTGCTTTCGCTATCTGCTAACCGATGGTCTGAAATGAGTTATGAGTTTTTCTCGTACAATTTTCGCACAATAAAGCATAGTCGATACTACTGATAACAAAGTTTTTCAAGGGTAAAAACAACTGGACAGATTATCCAGGCTCAAAATAATTGTGTCTCTTGGAATGTTGTTCCGAGGAGCGGAACAAGAAACTCGTAGTACGATGTTCACAGTTTTGCTTAAATGAAATTTACAACTTATTTCAGAAAATCGCTTAGCTGATAGAAAAAGCAGATTTAAACTCAGTGTTTAAAACGTCTTACGATATGGTGCTACATTACGAAGGGCCATGGTCACCAGATATCCTTTCCTTGCCAGACCTCGGACATATCTTTAGTGACTCCATTCTAGCGATTCTCATCGCTGTGCATCGAATGCCTCGACGTCCAATCGCTTCGGGACTAATCGCATGTCGCTCTTTCCGGGCCTTACAAACTCCTCTGACATTCGGTGCGTGCAGCGCTTTGTAGTGCGCGCGGGCCGAACGGTGAATGCGCCCGGGCCGAACGATGAATGCGCGCGGGCCGCACGGTATCGAAAGCGCCCGTCCGCAAGCTACCAGAGAATAAGTCTTTCATAAAGCTTTTCTTTTTCTTCTTTCGTCGCGCCTTGAGCATTCTCAACTTTACAGTCCAAAAATAATTTCGAATTTAGAAAATTTGAAGGTTTGAACTTGAACCCTAGAATTCAAAAATTCAATTTTAGCACCCATTTGGGAAGCTGTCGAGGGATAACCATCGTAAAAGCCAAAAACCTCTCATGTTCCTGCGATTACTCAAATGCCAAGAAATGATAAGCGGGCTTCACGAGCGATGGAGCAGCCTAATCACAGCATCGTACCTCACGCGGGTACCTATTACGCTTATAGCGTATGAGAATTGGAGGCGCGCGGGTGGCACGGTGAGAATATAGTGTGCGCGGGTCGCACGGTACGTGACCCCGCCCGTAAATCTAGACGCGCGGGCCGCACTGCTGGCCATCAACAAGCGCGCGCCGCACGCACCGAATATCAGTGTCGTAGCTCACGCCACGCCCAAATGAACGCAAACATTGCTGAGTTTTTGATTTGGTCTAACATCTCTAACTCCTTCAAACACTAATCTCACGACGCTAATTTCATAGACGCGTCCACCACAACATCATCCACTCCACGATTGCTGCTAACCTTGTTTGATCTCTGACTGCGGCACGTATGGCTATGTAGCAACATGCAGCAATATTGGTCAAGGATGACAGACATCACACTGCCGTCTGCTATTGCATGCTGGCGACAAGTTGGTTGCAAACTGCCGACACATTAGCCACACCGCAGTACCGCAGTCAGAGATGCAAACCAAGGTAGCAGCAACCGTAAAGTAAAGTAGTATCAGAAAGCGACAGACAAGTGCACAGTAAAATACCTTTAAGTAGTCAGGAAATGCAAGGGAAAAGGAAAGCGAAAAATACAAAGAATCAAGAAGAAGAAACACTTACGTCCATTACCAAGGCAATTTAACGCTTGCGTAAATCCAGGGTCAAAGTGGATAAGTGAAAAAGATAAGAGAAAGAAGTGATAAGTGAAGAAGTGGATAAGCAATACAGAGTGGTGAGTGGAAACAAGTGAGCGGCGGAAGCGCAGGTCATGTGATGCTATTCGCATGGTACATCAGTTAGAATTGAAGAAAAAGACTTGCGAAATTCTCTAGAAAAAAGAAGGCGACGCGACATATCGTCCGTCGCAGGTGCAGACTCTGCGCGCAATTTCTCTCACTTTCGGCGGTGTCGTGGCGATATTGCCGATAAAGGTATGCCCGTGAAGCGATGACACACGATTTGTCGCCCCTAAAACTGGCACGAACGCGGCAGGACCCGCTCTCTCAATACTCAAGTGCGGGGAGTCAGGAACACATGTCCGGGCGCCATCGGGCAGCGATAATCGCGTAAGGTATGCCCGATGCCTTACAGGAGAGCGTTGCTAATGAATCTTGTAGAGATTCCTCTTAGGGTCAAACACATTTCTGATACTCCTGTCACAAATCGGACGTTCCTGATATAAATTAAATGACGAGAAGCAACAAATTAGCACCAACGAGTTTTGTAAGTCCACCAACAAGTCCTTATCGACACCCTGAGAGTTCCTAGCTTTTTACATCACTTGATTGCAGCAGAGCATTGAATGCCAAGCTTTCATCGAGCAGGCAAAAACCCAACATGGTTTTGAAATCAGCTCACTGACAAATAGATTACTTGCCTTAATCCTTGTATGCTGAAGGCAATCTAGACATGAACACCTAATGACTTGCCTATTTGCTTAAATCACAACGTCTTTTGTCGAATCATGGCTTCACAAAATTGGGTAAAACTTAGTCCACATCGACAGCAATTTCATTGCGACGCGATTTGTGCAACAGTTCAACTGCTGCGCACTTGATGCATGCCGGCAAACCAAGCATTTCGGTCGTACCAGCCGTACGGTGCGATGTATCGCTGACGGTTTGTTCCTAAGCCATACCTCAGCGAGATGCCGCGATTCGGCCGAAATCTAGCGATATCGTTTGATATTTGAAACAAGCGACGGGGCGTATCGCTCGCTATTTTCTCTCCATAATATTTTTGTAGTATTGTTGTGTTCAAATGTTTTTCTGCAGAAATGTTTGAAAAAAGTTGCAAATCTTCTAAATTGCGTTTTCTTGGTGTGGTGCTCGCTTTCAATTCGTGCCATCAGCCAAAGGTCTGCCTTTCGACTTTCTCATTTTTTTGTTGATAGAAACAAGCCTTCTCCCGTCTTGAATCTCAGCCTAATTAACATATCTGAAAACTACCTTCCAAAATAGTGATTCGATTTTATATTCAGCGACTTCGATAACCTCTCATTCAACTACTTAACAGCACTTAGCAACGTCACATCAGCAACGAAATGAGTGACAGAGTTTATAAACGCGAACAACTACAGAATGAAATTCAGTTTTTTGAAATTTTGAGAATCCTGTAAAAAATTTTTGAAGTGAAATTTTTTTAAAAAAATATAAGCGGGAAACAAAACTGCTAATGCTGCTATCATTATCAAAAACCGACAAAAAGTCTACAAAAAAGTCGGGATAAGTTACTACCAAAAGATTACGCGAAATGTGTGCTGAAGTGGAGATTGCACACTTATACAGGTATGTCTAAAATTAACGATTGGCTTATTGTCAGTAAAACTGAAGATCACCGGTTCAATTAATATCCAAATCTACTTCAATAAGAAACCGCTAATGGAGTGTGCAAGTGTCCCAGGACGCGGTCCTGCTGCAGCGTGGCTCAGGCTGGACTATTCCCGAAGTATTTGGCTTGAAACGCCGCACAGCATATTGTCAAAGATGCACTTTCTTTTTTCAAATCCATCCTCTAGTGTCTGCCACGTGGAACGCGCAGCTCATGTTGCAAATGCAGTTTTTCACCTAATGGTCAGGCAAAGGAGATACAAGTCCTTTGATTATTAGGTTGCTCCAATAATACGTGTTTCAACGATTTGACAAGAACAACTTTGTCAATCTTATACAGGGTGTCCTTAAACCACGTATACACTGTTTGATAGCTGCGCAAAAGCATCACTTGTGAGAGGTTGAGTTCACAACTTGAATGGTCTAAAATTCGTTTCAACTTCTTTAACCAATTCTGAAAGCGCACTTAGAAAGCCCATTTTTTCATATAGAGTAAAAGGTACTTACCCTCCTCTTCTATCGTTGTTGAATGTTCAGGGGTGTCCGTAATAAGCACATGTCCATCTGACGAGGATATGACCAAGCTACTTATTCCTGCTACCATCGGAGATGCAGATGTCGGTGCTGATTTGGTTGCAGTTGTTGATGATGACAAGATTGTTGTTTTCTCTACTTTCTTTTTTGTTGTAGAAGGCCTTGGTGGTGATGCTTTTTTGGCTGAAGTGGTAGACGGCAACGGCTTCTTCGATAAAACGGTTTTCTTCTTTGGTGATGTGCTTTTGGTTTTAGTGGACCGTGACGGCTTCGTCAACGAGGCAGATTTCACCTTTGTTGTCTGAGAAGTTTTCTTAGTCATTCTTCTTGTTCGACTAGTGGTACCTTCCACTGTTGATCTACTAAGATTTTGTTGCACCATCACTTGATGTACCACCGAGGCTCGAATGCACTCTAAGTCGGTGGGTGTAAGCGAAGGTTCTCCAAAAAGTATTGTCTGTAATTACGATTTGATAGCTGTTTGAAGCATTGCAAGTGGGTGAACTGTCTGTTGGAAAGGAACTGTTTCTGATGTTTGGTGAACATCCCTTAGGATTTTCGTTTTCCAACACGACTAATCGTGACTAACTATCACAACCGAAACACAAGAAGATCGGCACGCAATGAACTCGTAACAGTCGTCTTGTTACGATTGAATCGCGACGATCAAATCCCGTGAACTCTGTCCGAGGCCTTAGGTGTATGTACAATAAAAACGCAGAAAAGTGATTTTCAAAACATGTGGTTGTTCAATGCAAAAACTGCTCTTGCGGTGACACCAATAAATTAACGATTCAATATTCGCGATTTCGTCGACCTGATCATGGAATTCGAGAGACCTCGACAAAGAAATCGCTGCAGTCAGGGCTTAATTCGACGCAAGTACTTGCATTCACTACAAAACTGTACTTTTGTTGCAGCCGTGTAGACATGCACATGCTAAAATTTGTTAAAGGGTTGAAAATACTACTGTTTGCTTCAACTCTGCATCAATTTATGCATTTCTTCTGTTAAGTCACTACTATGTCATCGCGGAGGGGGGGGGGAACCTATTGACAACTTAACTTCTTGGGGTTCTTTCATAATGCCGCACTAACCACAGCTGACTGCAGCTGATCGCCGAGTCCGCAGCATGTTCAGGTAGAAAGAAAAAACGACCTTGCTTACGATCGAAATACCCTGAATGACATCGAAGCTCATAAGCTTTTCACTTTTCAGTCAAATCTGTCTTTCCTTATTACGCTAACATGCTGCGGCCGCTGCGGTCGGTGCAGTGTTGCGGTTAGTGCGGCAGTATGGAAGAACCCTTGTGCGGTGGCGGACACTAACACTTGCAAAAGACCAAATAAACATTATGCGCCTCAAATGGAAGATTGCATTCAACCCTGAATACAACTGCAGAATGGTGCATCGAAAATCCATGGATTTGCAGATATTAATAATAAGGCATCTCAGCTACTAATTTTATAGATAGCAAATATTGTTGCCGTCTTAATGGGCGCTGTAGTGCTGATTTTGGGTATCGTTGGGAGTCACTTCACTTTTACGGATTTGCGATGGGAATACGATGTCGAGAAACCATACGCTGATGTTGTGCGAAGCATGGAACTTTACGTGTTCAGTCCTTGTATTTTGCTCTCTTACCTTGTATATCTGGCCATCACAGTTCGCATTCGCATGGTTGGTTGTCACTCTTACAATTTGGGTATTCCTCAGCAAAGTATTCAGACAAGAACTTCCAAGAGCATTATAACCAAGCATCACTCTTCATATCGGATAGAATATCAAATATTTCTACATTATTTTATTGTATGCACAGTGATCATTGCATTAGTATTATTCTGGAATCTAACAGCAATACTCAAAGTTGAGTCTAGGCTGCAAGATTTTATTACAAATTGTTGCTGGATTATTTGCTGCTGGAGTAACCCAATTGCGGTGATGTTATTCAACACGTAGGTTATGGCAACGTTGAGTTTTTACAAAAAAGACGCGAGCAATATCCTTAGCTAAATTGAGAAATTTTGAAAATATTGACTTGGAAAAATCTCTAACAACACGTATCTTGATCCTACGATTTATTCAGAAATGTACGGCGTGCTGTTCTTGAATTTATCGACCTGCGTAAACGCTTTTCCACGGGCATCGTGACTAAATCCCCCATACAACATCAGAATTATGTATCTACGGTTTCTTGATCTTACATTTCTTAAGGTTCGATATCTCTCATAATTTTTTACTATGTTGATATTTAGATAGCAAGAGGCGAATTCTGAGCTGGTTCAAAAACTTTAAGATCTTTCATGTTTACATTCATTCACATTACATTTTCATTTACATTATTTTCATTACATTCACGTTTCTTTCATGTATATTTGATCGATATTTAATAAATTTGTCTCGTTTCAAGGATCTTAGTTACAGAAAATAGCTGATGCATAATGAGTCGCGCTACTACAACCATAAGAAGAGTGTAGAGACCTGTTTGCATTTGACCAACTGGCAAGAACCTGATGATTAGAAGTCTGATAATTTCCAGAGCGTATTTCACTCAATGATGCACAACATAGAATATTTTTTATCGCTCAACCATATCTTGAATTGCTATCTAGTAGCCGCAGAAATATTTTGAAACGTGGCTTAGCATATCTGCTCGTGCTCTGAGGGTTGAGCCAGACTGCGCGGCGTACGCGGCGTACTCAACGGAGCGTGCGCTCCATATCTTTTTGTGAGCGTACGCAGCGTACGCGACGTACGCTGCGTACATCGCGTACTCGGTGTACGTCTGGGTACGCAACGATTCTGGTACAGTCTTGCTAACTTCGAGCTATGAATGCGTACTATATGGTTGCTCATTTGCTTCGAGTATCAGCGTTCGCAGATTTGCGTCAACGAGAACTACATTCTATGCCTTCGACATTTCCTGCCAGCAACTTAATTGCGGAAGAGCGAACACGAGCTTATAAAGAATGTCATATAGCATTATTACATTGATTGGCGACATCAGAATGAGAACAGCAACTTTGAGACAAAAAGCAAAAACTCTTCTTTGCGACAGGATGTTTTCATAGTTTTGCATCCAGCAGTACTGTCAGCTTCACCTTTGTATCAATCGCTGCAACCCAAATTCTTATACGCTATACGCAGTTTTGCTAAATCTCCTTTTACTCAAGAGCAACAACGGAAAATTTCGGACCGCTGTACACATGGATCATCATGCAAGTAAAACTATTTGAAGATGCAAGTTCTTTCTCAAACAGCTATCTTTGTGTCTGCATGCGCAGACCCAGCTGGACAAAGTCCGAAATTCCGTCTTCAGCAAGCGAATTAATGTAACCATGAAGCGGGCTGTTGAATTCAGTGATAAATATTTTCTAGACCAGCAGGTTCATTTACACCACCTATCCGAAAGAAGCAATTGACAACCAGTCGGCTGTTACTTTAGTCAACGTCATGCTGCAAGCCTTTTCTCCTCATTTAAAGCAAAAGCCCAAATTGATGTAAGCCAATGACAAGTGTACACGGCGACACTGCGGCAAAGTGCATAAACGTTTGGGTTGGTCAAAAGTGAAATTTTATTAGGTACCAGCAGACAGACATGAAAGCGTGCATATTTTCTTTATATTGATTGGCTTCATCTACAAACTAGCTGGCATACCCGGCTTCGCCCGGCTTTACCAATCCACTATGATAAAGATCATCACTCCTTCATTCTATGCAACTGTTCCCTGTCCCTGTTCCACTTCTGGACTATTATTCCGCTTGACTTTCTCACATCTGAGCTTGCTTAAAATTTGCAAGACTTGAACAAATTTCTTCATCTGCTCGTAGTTGTATTTTCAAGCACTAATTCTGCAAAGGTACCAGTACAATGCGTAAAACTTTCTTTTTTCAAAAATAGTCTCAGATTTTTCATGATCCTGCTTGAAAAAAATTCGAGTAATTTTATTCCCTTGCTTGTAACTCTTGCACTCACTCATACTAGGTTAGACTAAAGGCACTACGGAAAGAGACTAATCTGTGCTTTCAAATAAAATTCACGAAGAAGTTATGATTTTTTGAAAATGATGCGCAAGAACTTTCGGACCGACATGATATACAGGGTGCATCTTGCACGACTGCCACGAAAGAACCAATAAGAACAACCAATAAGAAACATGAGTACAAATTCATGTCATATAAAGCTTTAGTCAAACCTACTGGGTAGGTTCCCCAACCTACCCTACCCCCCTCAAACCTACCCCCCTCAAACCCTTCAAAGTTTGCGGAAAGATCTCTTTTATGAAAAAGGTAAAAATGGGTTTTCGAATACTTCAAATTTTGTTTCACAGCTAAACGACGGATCCTTTCTGATCCATTCAGCTGAGACTGTAGAGTAAACTCTGTGCTATCGCATGGTCATAAAAGCATCTCAAGAATCTGCTCTTCTACAAACTTTGAAAATGTGTTTGCGAAAAATACTTGCGTACGAGCAACGATCTTACGTTCAAAATTATTTGCGAGATTTCATATGTACTGTGAAAATCTTCGGGTAAGAAGCATATCTTTCTTTATGAGAAATGTAGGAAAGTATCTGTTGTAAAGGATTTGTGGAGATTCTTTGAAAGCTATTCAGAAGACATTTTCTGATTTTCACGCGCACTCAAAAGGGAAGAATTAGTGTTTTCAGAATGGTGCCTCGCGAGGATGTTTTTGGAAAAATAAAAATTCCTCTTCAAAGTGACTTCTAAAGTTACCTACTTAAAATCGTAAGGGATAAAGCCTTGTCTATTTCTAGTCTATTTTACTGCGCAATCTGAAAGCAAGATAATAGCAAGCAATCAAGATAATAGGTTTTGGAAAAGTTAAATTTTTACACTTGTACCTGCGTACAGAGTACACTCTAGTTAACGAGAGAATCCCAGATTTTTCTGAGGGATGAAACAGCCAATTTCAATTTGATTATTACATCACGATAAAAGTGGTTGGTAAAATCATATGTATGCTTTTGGTGCACCCTGAATATAATTTCAGTTTTGGTAACAGAAATATTCCGCTAACTCAATGTCAGTCGAAGCAAAGTTTAAAACGAAATTCGTATCGTCAAAAACAGGATCGATCGCTTATCTCAAAACTTTTGAACTTTCAATTGTATCTGTGGAACGCTTTGAAGTAGTGGTGTAGTGTCAAATGAATTGCAAGATTACCAGCTGAGAAAAAGATTTGAACTATTGACCATTTGTGCGATAGGAAAGCGCAATCTCCGTTCGTTGGTTGGACTTGATATTATGTGCTACGATGCACATTTTTGAAAGCTCTTGCAACTCGGCTAATAGAGAATGCATCCTATTTTTTTCCTTTCTAAATTTTTACATTCATCACCGCATTCAAAAACATGCGTCCCATAACAAGTGAATCCAACCAAGAGTACTCTTCCTAATAGTCGTAATATGATTCGTCAGTAACAACGAACCGGCTACATGTATAATTTCCTTTGTGCCATGTGTTAACAAAACCGTAGTGTGTGCGAATGGTCATCTGCCTATAAGTTCGTATACATGAGTCATGCTAAGTTAAGAGGTTCAGTGATTGAGATGACAGCACACGGTAGACACGAGCAGTCGAATGTGACTAATAATGCAGAACTTTGCTAGGCGAAACTAACAACACTAACAGTGTTTTTCTAGAATGCAAGAAAATCTGACAAATATTTCAGGGCTATAAATCAAAGAATGATTTAATTTACTCTTAGCAAGTCAAATTCTTGGTGCGCGTTAAAAAACCTAATTCCAAAAATGCTGATTGCAATTTATCTTGCAAGACAATACGTGAAGAGTAATATGAAGTCAATAGTGCTCACTGTCTAATAAGATTATAATCAGGGTCAAGCGTGGAGTGTGGCATGCCACACCTGGGGGGTCGTATTGGGGAATCAGGGAGGGGGGGGGGGGTCGTTATCAAGGCGTTCGCTGTTCGCATAACATGATATTTCACAATGTCAAATAGGCCCATCATGCGAAATACTAGCACATTGATGTTTGACCCATTATCGTATACGTACTGAGCATGATTAAAGATCTATAAAGCATAGGAGCATCATTTTGTATTTAGCAAGTAAAATAACCCCTGTGGTTCACGTTTCAGCGAATTCTGAGGTTTCCAAATACAGGACTAAGTGAGATGGTCGTTTAAGACCTCAAAATTAAGGAATTAAGAGCAAGAGAAAATCTCGTTTGTTCCATTCGTTATCAATATCTCAGGCTAGAGAAGACCAATGAGGACCAAATCACTTTAATGTAGATTAGAGGCTTAGGCTATTGGATATATACATTCTTGACGTCTTCCCTTGCGATTCACGTAGTAGCGCACACTTAGCAAGTTACCCTATCCCAATATTTCGCAGTGTTTTACTAGTACAATACATTTGCATAGGTAAGGAAAAACGATTATATTTTGCTCTCGAAGAAACGTCTTTTTAATGAAATTTCTGCTATGTAAAGAAGAAGGTTGCAGTAACAACGATTTAAAAAACACAGCTGCTTGATCTGTTCAAAGGGGCGTGAGGCACCACCCCTTTAAAAAGCTGTGGCAGCCACAGCTTTTTAGGGGTTGTGCCACACCCCATTAACTATATCAAAAAAACATTTCTAGCGAACATTATTTATATGAATCGATAGCCTGTACCTCGTAGATTTCATAGGATTGATGTGAGCCTGATTAGTCTTTTTAGCTCTGAGTAATATTTGGTGAAATTGGCAATTAAAAGCGAAAAATAAGAAAAGCAAGATTTTGTTGGCTTCTTATTCAAATCAGGAGGTCTTTTAAAGCGAGATTTCTAAATTGGCGAAAGAAGGAGTAGTGCTTTGTCTTGAGTGCAAAAACAGCTAGCTACTTCACCTTTGAAACAAAGTTGATCATGCTGGAAAATGGCGATTTCACTTAGGTGACCCAATATCCTGAAACATCAGAATTTGCTCAAACATTGTCTACAGGGGGTTAATTGACATGCTAATCATGGATATGTTGCCCGTTATGTTTGACAGGGTCTTCAAGTAATGCCTTTCTTAAATATATAGTTCAGGGGTCTTATTGAGACAGCAATAAGGGGGGGGAGGGTCGTGACCAGCGATC